GGAATGTGTCAACACTTAAAAGATTAACATAATTCAGTGAATCAATATTTTCTGTATGACCAGTGCATAATGTTATAAAATCTTAAGTGTGAAAGGACCATTCATAGTTAAAGATGGACCAGTGGGATTTCATGTAATAGAGTAGGAAGAGGTCACTGATGTGGTTCAGATTCTGCAGTGCAACTTACTTTGTAGAAATGAATACCACTTGAATTTTGAGGCAGTATCTTTTTTTTATTCTTCTCTTCCATTGGTGCTGGGAATTGAAAACAGGTTCTCATGCATGCTAGACAAGTGTTTTACCATTGAACTACCCCTGCAGCCCCTTGATTCATTGCCAAAAAAGATTTTTTCTTTTCCAACTACTTATCTGTGTGAAGGTATATATATATATATATTTTCAGGTATATATATATATATATATATATATATATATATATATAGAGAGAGAGAGAGAGAGAGAGAGCATATATATATATATATATATATATATATATATATATATATATATATATATATAGCAGATATATATATATATAGCAGATATGAGAATTTAGCTGCTTTTTGTTAAGCTAGATATTAAAGAGATTTGCAAAAATGTGTAGCAGTAATACTTTTTTAAAACAATTATTTATTTTTAATGTTTTAGTTGTAGATGGACAATACCTTTATTTATTTATCTTTATGTGGTGCTGTGAGCTTGAACCCAGTGCCTCACACATGGTAGATGAGTGCTTTACCACTGAGCCACAACCCCAGCCCCAGTAACACTTTTTTTTTAAGAATTTAACTTTTATTTTGTATATTTGTTTTTATGTGTGCTGAGAATCGAACCCAGTGCCTCACTCATGCTAGGCTAGCACTATACTACTGAGCTACAACCCCAGCCCAACAATGACACTGTTAATTAATTATTTTTGTTTTTGGAAAAGTATATATTTTTCATAAAAATGTCATGTTAAAATGTAATGGATTGAGGGGTTGAGGATATAGTGCAGTTGGTAGAGTGCTTGCCTTGCATGCACAAGGCCCTGGGTTCAATCCCCAGCACCACCACCAAAAAAAAAAAATTGACTTTTTGGGGCTGGGTTGTGGCTTAGTAGTAGAGCACCTGCGTAGCACATGTGAGGCGCTGGGTTTTATCCTCAGCACCATATAAAAATAAATAAAGGTATTGTGTTCAACTACAACTAAAAGTATATTAAAAATAAAAAAGTAATGGATTGGGTTGGGGTTGTAGCTCAGTGGTAGAACTCTTGCCTCACATGTGCCAGGCTCTGGGTTCAATCCACAGCACAAGGAAAAGATTGAAAAGTATTGGGTTTGTTGTTATTTTCAAATAAAGAAAAATAAATTTGTAGGACTTAACTTCTAATATACAGTTAATAATGGATATAACCCATGTAATCAGGGTACTCAATAAGTTTTAAGAGTATACTCAGTAATTTTGGGGTGGTAGTGGTACTCAGGGGCACTCAACCACTGAGCCACATCCCCAGCCTATTTCATATTTTATTTAGAGACAGGATGTCACTGAGTTGTTTAGGACCTTGCTTTTGCTGAGGCTGGCTTTGAACTCGAGATCCTCCTGCCTCATCCTCCTGAGTTGCTGGGATTACAGATCTGTGCCACCACGCCCAGCTGCAGTCAGTAATTTTTAAGAGTATAAAGGGGCCAAGTAACCAAAGTATTCATATTCTCTCCCTCTCTCTCCCTCTCTCTCCCTCTCTCTCTCTCTCTCTCTCTCTCTCTCTCTCTCTCAGAACTGAGGATTGAACTCAGGGGTGCTTTACCGGGTATTTCCTTAGCCTTTTTATTTTGAGACAGGGTTTTGCTAAATTGCCCAGGCTGGTCTCCAACTTGCCAAAGCTGACCTGCAACTTGTGATCCTCCTGCCTCAGCCTCCCTAGTATCTGGGATTACAGGCATGCTTGGCTAAAACATTAATTCAAATCTAATAAGACTCATTGTAATCTGATGTGATAAGAAAGTGCTGCATAAGAATCATGTATTCTGATGTGATAAGAGAGTGCTTAATAAGAATCATGTGATAAGAAAGTGATTCATAAAAGAAAAGTGAACTAGATCTCAAATTAAGGTTAAGAAAGATTGGGAGACTAGCCAGACATGGTGGCACATGACTATAATCCCAGCAACTCGGGAGACTGAGGCAAGAGGATTACAAATTCCAGGCCAGCCTGGACAACATAATGCGACACTGTCTCAAAATAAAAATAAAAATAAGCACCGGGGATATAGCTCAGTGGTAGAGTGCCCCTGGGCTCAATCCCTAGTACCATGAAAAATGAAATGAAACAAGGTCATTTAACTTCACCTAACCAAGAGTTAACTAACCTCAGAAGGGCACTTTCTTTTCAAAAAAACTATAAGTTCCACATGTAACTGTTTTCTATTATGCTTTAGTAATGAAAAGTGAACCCAAATCAAACTAGCTCTTTTCACATAGGTATCCCTTTGTACAAAACTAATGGAACTTTAGAACAATTTGTTTCTGTTGAATATTAATTAAGTTGTCAGGAAACTACAACCTAACAATATAACAAGGAAATTTTAACATTCTCACTGATATGTTCAAATGGTATTTTTTTTATAAAACATCTTCTTTTAATTTTTTTTTTGTAGTTAATTGTAGATGGACAGCCTGTCATTATTTTATGTTGTGCTAAGGATGGAACCCAGTGCCTCACATGTGACAGGCAAGTGCCCTGTCACTGAGCTACAGCCCCAGCCCATTGCCCAGGTTGGCCTGGATTTCAAGATCCTCCTGCTCAGCCTCCCAAGAGTATGGGATTACAGGCATGCACTACTGGTCCTTATTTTGTTTAAAAAACATTTAAATGTTAATACTTAAACTATATCCTGAACTTGAATTGACTCTTCCTGTTAAGAAACCAGGCAGGCCAGACATGGTGCTGCTTCTTTGTAATCATAGGGGCTCCAGAGGCTGAGGCTCAATCCTGGGCTCAATCCCTAGTATGGCAAGTTCAAAGCCAACCTCAGCAATTTAACGAGGCCCTAAGTAACTCAGTGAGACCCTGTCTCTAAATAAAATACAGAAAAGGGCTGGGGATGTGGCTCAGTGGTTATGTGCCTCTGGTTTCACTCCCCTGAACCAAAAAGAAAAAGAAGAAGCTAGGCAGGTGGTGCTTTTCTATAATCCCAGCTACTCAGGAGGCTGAGGTAGGAGAAAAGAAAATAACTGGGTTTTGTTTTTTTGTTTATTTGTTTGTTACCAGGGATTGAACCCAGTGTGCTTAATCACTGAACCACATCCCCAGCCATTTTTATTTTCCTGTTTGAGACAAGTCTTGCTAAGTTGCTTAGGGCCTTACCAAATTGCTGAAGCTGGCCTTGAACTAGCAATCCTCCTGCCTTAGCCTCCTGAGTTGTTGGGATTACAGACATGGACCATTAGGCCCCACTAAAATTCACTGTTTTTGTGAAGTTTTTATTTTTTTTCCCTGTATGCATTTCATCAATTATTTAAAAATACTGAATTTTTAAAAATATATTTTTAACTGTAGATGGACACAATATCTTTATTTTACGTATTTATTTATTTTTTTTAAAGAGAGAGAGAGAATTTTTTTAATATTTATTTTTTAGTTTTCGGCAGACATAACATCTTTATTTGTATGTGGTGCTGAGGATCGAACCCGGGCCGCATGCATGCCAGGCAAGTGCGCTACCGCTTGAGCCACATCTCCAGCCCACATATTTATTTTTGTGTGGTGCTGAGGATTGAACCCAGTGCCTCATACGTGCGAGGCAAGTGCTCTACCACTGAGCTACAACCCCAGCCCAGTACTGAAATCTTTTAGTTTAAAAATATATAAAAAGTGGGCTGGGGATATAGCTCAGTTGGTAGAGTGCTTGCCTCGCATGTACAAGGCCCTGGGTCCAATTCCCAGCACCACCATGTTTTGTCTAGCATGTGTATCACTAATTGATTCTTTACCTAGTATATAACATTGGATAATTTTTTATCATTCTGTATATTCATATCAAATTATGTCCTTTTTGTCATTAACTATTATCCACTCTTCCCATTAATGGACATACACGAAGTACCTACTCTTTAGCAGTTACTCTATGATAATGGCAATTGTAATAGCAATAATTCTTCACTTTCACTGGATGCTCACTACAGTATTTCACTGAATTTAATGCCATTGATTTTAAGACCCTTTTTTTTTTAATGTACTGTTAAGAGAAAAGCTTTCCAATTAAACTGTTAGATACCATCCATTGACAGATGTACTCCAACTTCAAAAATGTTCAAAAGTGAAAAGCTATCATTTTTAGAATTTATGACATATTACACTTTGCATGTTAACTCATTTAATTATACCAATCCAATGAGGTAGGACTATCATTATCATTCTAATAAAGAAGCAAGTTCAACATAGGTTAGGTGACTTTCCTAAAGTCATCCAAATATTAAAAAATTTGAGACCGGGCATCCTAACTCCACAGTCTCATCCTCAGCTGTTACACTATATTGCCTTCTGCCAAGGTGATTAAAAGTCACTTCTTTTTGGTAATTCATGAGATAAAGAGGGGAGAGACAAAAAAATTTGTGCTACACTGTGATAAATGCCTTGGTAGAGATGTTCATAAGAGATTATGAGGATATATAGAGAAAATTTAACCAACAAGAACTTAAACATCACCTTTAGGTTCTTCTAGCCCTCCTGAATTTCTGTGGCTGTTTTGATTTTCTTTTCTTTTCTTTTTCCTAGTACTTAGGATTGAACCCAGGACCTCTAGCATGCTAGGCAATGGCTCTGCCACTTTTGATCTTTGATTCTTACTGGTGTAGCTAAACAAAAACAAAATACTGTGCGCTCTTTAAAAAACACATGTACTATAATATCTATATAATAAATAAGCATCAGGATTCATTATACTAAAATTTCTAGAAAAATAAAATGTTTAAAATAGCTAATAAATGAAGTTTGAATTTAATGTCTTTACAGGTGCTGGAGAAAATTTGGAGAATACAATGGAAGCCTTTCAGCAGTAAGTATATAAAAAAATACTCTTTTACAGTTTATCATTAAAGTGTTGTGATTAACAGAGCAAAGATAGTATACGTGTAGCATCCATTTGTAGTAGTTGTTTCTATAAAACCCCATTTTTTAATTTAGTCTGAAGTGTTACAAAGAGTGTTTGGCTTCTGTATAACTGAAAAACTAAATCAAGAGTTTTGAGAATTCAAAGATACTATAGTTCCAAAGCTGAAAGAAGACATTTGTAACAAGGAACATACTGTGTATAATGCTAATTAGTCTTGGAGAGAAAGAGAAAACAAAACAACTGTTACATCGGCTGCTGTTTATGAAAAGGATTGTGTCTTTGTGCCCACCAGTTTTAGTTATAGACCTGAACCTGCAATCTGGTACTCTTCTTGGAACCCTCATGAGTGTTGATCTTATTTTTTAAAATAAGATAAATTAAAATTTTTCTATTTAGAATTGATTCACATTTCATATAGATGTTTTTTAGAGCACTTCACAGAGAAGCTGTAGGAGACAGGAATGAAGACTGTTGGCTACCCTTGTTCTCTGTCTTAAAGTCAATTATTATTATCACTCTGTGATAATGGTGAGAACACTGTTTTCCTTTCCCTGAAAAACTACCTCCAATGAAAGACATTACCTATTCATATTTAATGAGAAAAAGAATTTCTTATATAATTTTGAGACTTATAGAATTTTTTAAAAATATTTTATTTTTTTAGTTATAGTTGGACACAATACCATTATTTTATTTATTTTTATGTGGTGCTGAGGATCGAACTCAGGACTTCAAACATGCCAGGTGAGTGCTCTACCACTGAGCCACAACCCCAGCCTGAGACTTATAGAATTTTGGTAGGATTTTGCTACATGGTCCCAAACTCTTGAGCAATTTTGAGCATTTTTAATGTGTATAATTTGGACTAAGAAATCAGAATTTTTCTTTTTAATTGAATTTTATTTGTTTCTTTGTTTATTTATTTACTTATTTTTGATGGTGCTGGGATGGAACCCGGGGACTTGTGCACTGTAACCACTCATTCTACTACTGAACTACGACCTCAGCCCGGGAGAATTTGAACTAAGTTTTTGTTCTGCTTCTCACCAAAGACTTATAAAAAGGCTTAGAGATTATTTTTCCTGTTATCAGACTCGAAGGTACTGCTTCTAGTTTCATCTGAATCCCTCTACTTGTCATTTCTTACTTTTACTGTTGGATATGATCTCAAAAGTCTTTTACAAAAATGCAAAATCTTTTTCTACTGTCACAGATTAATGTGAATATTTTAATTTAAATTATTTTCCCTACTTAGATTGTTTATCTAGCAAGTTATCTATAGCTAAATATGAGTATATAATTTTATGTGTATATTTTTCTATACAGGTGCCTGTGTGTGTGTGCACACACTATCACTTTATCATATGTGGGCTGGGATTTATTTGGGAGAAACTGCCCATAACTTTAAATAATTTTAGTATTCTTTATGTTGGAAGCACATTATTTTGAAAGTTTTTCTCCATATTCTTTGTTAAATTTTTACCCATCACTCTTTTTTTTAATGAAATTGAACCACTAGGTTATATAGTAAGTTATTTCTAAAGATGCACACTTGAAAATATCACATTTTAAAAATAATTTTTAGTTGTAGATAGACACAATGCCTTTATTTTATTTATTTATTTTTATGTGATGTTGAGGACCAAACCTAGTGCCTCACATGTGCTAGGCAAAGCATTCTGCCACTGAACCATAACCCCAGCCCAAAAGTATCACATTTTTTTAATCTTTTTTTGTTTTGTACTGAGGATTAAACCCAGAGACCACATTAACCACTGAGCCACATCCCTATCCCTTTTTATTTTTTATTTTGAGAAATTGTCTTTCTAAGTTACTAAGGCTGGCCTCAAACTTGTGATCCTCTTGCCTCAGCCTCCAGAGTTGCTGAGATAGCAGGGTTGTGCCACAATGCCTAATACATACTTTTTGATTGTACTTTTTTTTTTTTGTTTCATCTATAAATATTTTATTGTTTAACTGCTGGGACACTTAGAAGGTTCCCTCCTCTCTCAAACATATCTGCTTCATGAACTACTAGAAGTTGGGCATGGTGGGTACATACTTATAGTCCCAACTACTTGGGAGGTTGAGGCAAGAGGATTATTTTAGCTCAGGAGTTGCAGAGTTCTAGACCAGCCTGGGCAACATCGTGAGACCCTGTCTCAAAAAGAAGGAGAGTTTAAAAGAAGAAAGAAAGAAAATACAAGAAAAATTATTTAAACATAATATTTTCAAGGTACCATTTATTAAAAAGTAAAGGATGGGGCTGGGGTTGTGGCTCAGAGGTAGAGAGCTTGCCTGGCATGTGTGAGGCACTGGGTTCGATCCTCAGCACCACATAAAAATAAAAATAAAGATTTTTTTTTAAAGTGAAGGAATTATAATACATGATCAGCAAAAGACAGAAACTGTGCTTAAGTGAGAGGAAGATAATCCTTATTATTATTTTTTTGGGAGGAGAGGTACTGGGGATTGAACTCAGGGCACTCGACCACTGAGCCACATCCCTGGCCCTATTTTGTATTTTATTTAGAGACAGGGTCTCACAGAGTTGCTTAGTGCCTTGCTTTTGCTGAGGCTGGCTTTGAACTTGTAATCCTCCTGCTTCAGCCTCCTGAGCTGCTGGGTTTACAGGCGTGTACCACTGCACCAGGCCCTAATCCTTATTATCTGGAGGAGAAATAATAAAAAAGTGATGGCTGGCTAAAATTTAGATCTTATTTATGTGTTAATTTAGGTATGTATTTCACAAAGCATATATAACATGGAGTTTAAGATGATGACATATTAGAGAAAGTGTAAGTAGTTGGTGGGAGGAAGCATGGTTTAGATTAACCAGGAAATTGAAATGACACTAAGACTGGAAGAGCTATATTTGAAGAAAGAAAAATTATTTTTTAAATGTGGAATGTTGGACGGGTGCAGTGGTGGAAGCCTGTAAACCCAGTGGGTAGGGAGGCTGAGGCAGGAGAATCATGAGTTCAAAGGCAGCCTCAGCAAAAGCAAAGCACTAAGCAACTCAGTGAGACCCTGTCTCTAAATAAAATATAAAATCGGGCTGGGGATATGGCTCAGTGGTCGAGAACCAATGAGTTCACACCCTACTACCAAAAGAAAATGTGGAATGTTTGAGATTAATATGTGACATTAATGTGGACAAGATATATCTAGGAGATTGAAAGGACTTTAGAGATATATTGAAAATTAATTCATTATGATAGAGTGTGACTAGAGAAGTAATTTTGACCAAGAATTCCATCTCACAATTTATAAAAAGTCCTTTAATTGGTTTATAAGATGCTTTCACAAACACCATCTCCTTTGTAGTATAAATATGGCTCTTCTCCTTAGGAGCAAAAATCTTTTTTATTGATCCCTCACTTCCTAACATCTCGCTCAGGCTCTCACACTGATAGGCTCTTACTAGTTGCTCATTGAATCAGATACAGAATAGTGCCCTCCAAAAACAAAGCAGAATTTTAGCAAAAGACAGATAAAGGAAACAGAACCCCCTTCACAGTAAACATAGAACCCAAAACTAAGGAATCATCTCAATCTCTCTCTCTCTCTTTCTCAATCTCTCTCTCTCTCTCTCTCTCTCTCTCTCTCTCTCTCTCACACACACACACACATACACACAGTCATTAAGCCCTTGGGAATGTAAAATCTGGTTCTTAAGAGCTAATAAAAGTAGGTTATTAAACTAGGCTGCCTTTGTAAATACCCAGAAGACAATGTGATCCCTCTGGTACCAACATGAATGGTAGGAGAAAGAAGCAAATTGTATTAGCAACATTTGGAAATGTAAATTGGCAGACAGTCAAAGTAATTAATCAGTGCCCGGATTCTCATGATAAATTTTTATAGTATCTGGTTACTGTGATACTAATTATCTCATCTCTGCAATGGGAGTGTATATTTATTGATAAGGTTGCTTGTTAACTGACTTGGAAATTTGTATAAAACCTAAATCAGGCCTAGTGTCATGACACACACCTGTAATTCCAGGAATACATGAGGCTGAGGCAGGAGGATCACAAATTCAAGGACAGGCTTGACAATTTAGAGAGAGCCTGTCTCAAAATAAAAATAAAAGGAGCTGGAGATGTAATTCAGTGGTAAAGCACCCCTAGGTTTTATTCCCCCATACCAGAAACAAACAAGCAAACACTATCATTTTAACTTTTTAAAAAAGATTTTATTTTATTTTTTGCAGTACTAGGGATTGAACCCAATACCATGCTAAGCAAGCACTCTATCTGAGCCACATCTCCTGCCCAACTTTGTTCTTTAAATGTGAATATCAGGTTCCCTAGCATCATTTGTTAAAACTGGTTCATTTTTTTTATTCAATGGTCTCTGCATCTTTATGAAAGCTCATTTCTGAGCTCTCTGTCCTGGTCCACGTGCATTTGTTATATCCATATATGTTTTTCTTTATATCATTACCACACTCTTTTGATTACTTATTAAATTTTGAATACAGAAGTATGGGTCCTTCAACTTTTTAGTTTTTAAGATTGTTTTGTCTGTTTGGGATCCTATGAAATTCCATTTGAATTTTAGGATGGATTTTTCTATTTCTGCAAAAAAAAAAATCATTGGGATTGTGCTGTTATTGCCACAAATCTGCAGATTGCTTTGAGTAGTATTAACATCTTAAGTACACTTAATATAGTTGCACATCCATATTTATATATCTTTAACTTCTTTTTGAAGTGTTTTATAGTTTTCATTATACAAGTCTTTCACCTCCTTGGTTAACTCCTGAGTGTTTTAATGTTTTTGATGCTATTGTAAATAAAATTGTTTTCTTAGTTTCCTTTTCAGACTATTCATTGTTAATGTATAGAAACACAATTAATTTTTGTGTGTTAATCCAACAACTTTCTTAGATTCGTCTGTTAGTTCTAAGAATATTTTTATAGGATCTTTGGGAATTGGGGAGTAGGAGGCTTGTGGCTGAGGATTGAACCCAGGGCCTTGCACATGCTAAGGAAGAGCTCTACCACTAAGCAATACCTCTAACCCAGGATTTTCTATATGTAAGATCATGTCTTCTGTGATCAGAGATGACTTTACTTGTTCCTTTCAATTTGAATTTTTTCTTGCCCATTATTAGAACTTCCAATAAGATAAAAGCAACTAGCCAGCATTATCTTATTTCTTAATCCTCTCTCTTTCACTCCCCCCCCCTACCCCAGGGATTGAACCCAGGTCGCTTAACCACTGAGCCGCATCCCTGGCCCTTTTCTTTTGTTCTATTTTGAAACAGAGTCTCACTAAGTCCTTAGGTCCTTGCTAAATTGCTGAGGTTGGTCTCAAACTTGGAATCCTCCTGCCTTAGTGTGGTAAGCCATTCTTATAGACCGTGGCCGCCATTAGAAGATGGCGCCGGCTTCCACTGTGGCCTGTGATAAACAACTCCTTTTTTGGAGAGTTGGCGCGCAATCCCTTACCACCCTATGAGAGAGATCCACGTGGCAGCTTGGGATTGGTATGCGGGAGGCTTTATTAGGCTGTGCTTGGGCGCTCGGCGGGGGGGTCACTAGAAGATGATACATGAAACAAGGCCTGAATAAACTGCTGAAAGAAGAATCCTGTGTCGTGTTTTCCCTTGCCGGCGAGGGGTCGCGACACCTTAGCCTCCCAAATGGCTGGGATTACAGGTATTCGCCATCACGCCCAGCAATCCTCTCATTTTTTAGATGTGGCTCTCAGAGGGAAATTTATTTGCCCAAAGTTATACAACTTCATAACAAATCAGGAATTGGTTTTCAAGTCTCTGAACTTCTGGTCACATATTCTTTCCATGATATAGAGTTGCCAGTATTAAGGATAGCTGGTTATTGAAAGGAGGCAACATTATTCACTTATTTTAATTAAGAACTTAGAATATTTTCACATCAATGAATGTTGATAAATAATGTTGTTGAGGATATAGTTCAGTATTTCAGAATATTTGGGTTTGTAACTGAATTATTATATCTAATGCATGTAACCTAAATGTTTGCATAAGTTTTAGGTTGTCGTTTTTCTCTTTATTTCTTCAGTGCAGTCACAATTGGAACTGATATGTTGGAACTGGACTGCCATATCACAAAAGATGAACAAGTTGTAGTATCACATGATGAGAACCTGAAGAGATCAACTGGGGTCAATGTAAACATCTCTGATCTCAAATATTGTGTAAGTAAAAATGAATGATAAACTAATGTCTAGTATATATTAGGGTAAAGTGTTTTTTTAGTGTTTTAAAAATTGTTGATGGACCTTTACTTCATTTATTAATTTATTTTTATGTGGTTCTGAGAATCGAACCCAGTACCTCACACATGCTATGCAAGTGCTCTACCACTGAGCCACAACTCCCACCTGGGTAAGATTTTTTAAGGCAGTGAATGCCAGACATTGCTTCAGTCAGCAACTTTAAAAAATAATATTTTTATATTTAAATAATAAATGTCAAAAGAATTTTTAAAAATTACCCTAACTCCCATTGAGGATTTTATACTTTACAAATACATCCATGAAGACTTGTTTTTATAAATATTTTAATAAAATTACAAGTCCTCAAATGTAAAGCTACTGGAATTCAGCTTGTTAAATTTAGTCAATTCATATTAAGGAAATGAATTATTTTTTGTCTTCAAGTATAAGAAAGCACCATTTAGGGGTGGGGTTGTGGCTCAGTGGTAGAGTGCTTTTCTAGCATGTGTGAGGCACTGGGTTCGATCCTCAGCACCATGTAAAAATAAACAAAGGTATTGTGTCCATCTATAACTAAACATTTTTTTAAAAGCACCATTTTAAAATTTGATCATAATGGTTTATATGCTCACTTTAGTAAATACTGATAAATGAAGGGAAACAGTGCTTTCTTTTACCACCTATAGCAAACTCCTGTTAACGGGACACTATCTATATGTATACCTTGTTAATTTTCAGAATTTTCTTTTCACTATATATTATACACATTGTTTTAAACACTTTAACATAATAAACATTTTTCCATGTTTTTTTTAAAAACAGGCTTTTGTTAGAGAAGTTTTGAGTTCATGGCAAAATTTAGTGGAAATACTGAATACCCATGTCCTTATCAACCAACCAACCCACAGAAGAACATCCTTCCCCACTACCAACATCCATACCAAGTGGCACATTTGTTATAATTGATGTCACCCAAAGTCCATAGTTTATACATTAGAGTTCACTCTTGATCCTGTACATCCTGTGGTTTAGATATTAGACATTTAATGACATTTATCCACTATTTATACTATCACACAAAATGGTTTCACTGCTTCCAAAATCCTCTATGCTTTTTATTTATCCCCCCTCTTCTCCCATCCCCTGAAACCACTAATCTTTTTATTATCTTCATAGTTTTGCATTTTCTAAAATGTCACATATTTGGAAGTATACAGTGTTTAACCTTGCAGGTTCCATGCTTATTTTTCATAAATATTTGAAATGACTGTAGTTGTTACATTGAGTAAATCTGTAGTTATTTTTAACCAATTTTCTATTGAACACAGGATTGGTTATAAGTTTTCACTGTACTGAATATCACTATGTGTAAAGATAAAGCTTTATCTTTAGGCACTGGTATAAAGTTACTTTTGAAAATATAAATAAGAATATACTTATAAAGACATAAATATTTATATTAAAGTTATTTGTATGAATTTTTCTCTATATTTAAAGTTAATTATTTCCCTAGAAGGAAAAATATTGGTTAAAAGAGTAGAAATATTATCATTATTGTCTTTAATAATATATATTACAGTTTCCTATTGCCTGCTTACTTTTTTTTTTGGTGGGGGGGCACTCAACCACTGAGCCACATCCCCAGCCCTGTTTTGTATTATATTTAGAGACAGAGTCTCATGGAGTTGCTTAGCAACTAGTTTTTGCTGAGGCTAGCTTTGAACTGGAAATCCTCTTGTCTCAGCCTCCTGAGTGCTGGGATTGCAGTCATACACCATGGCACTGGGCAAAGCCTTGGTTTTAATCCCTAGCACCAAAAAAATTAGCGAGCAGCCAGGTACGGTGGCTCACACCTGTATTCTCAGCAGCTCAGGAGGCTGAGACAGGAGGATTTTGAGATCAAAGCCAGCCTCAGCAAAAGCTAGTTGCCAGGCCAGCCTCAGCAACTTAGCAAGGCCATAAGCAAATTAGTGGGACCCTGTTTTAAAAAAAATAAAAAATAAAAAAACGGCTGGAGATGTAGCTCAGTGGTGAAGCACCCCTGGATGCAATCCCCAGTTACCTGCCCCATCCCCAAAAGAATAAAAAACTCTTAAAATTCAACAATAAGGAAAAGAATCTATTTTTAAATAGGCAAAAACCTGAACAGACACTTTGCTAAAGAAGATATACAGATAGTAAATAAGCACAGGAAAATATCCCCCAAATCACTAGTCATCAGGGAACTGCAAATTATAATCGAAATAGATTCTATTACATGTGTAGTATAGCTAAAATAAGAAAAAAAGTGATATCAAATGTTGGTGAAGATTCAGAATTAGAATTTCTATACATTACTGGTGCAAGTACAAAGTGATACTGTCACTTTGGAAAATAGGCAGTTTTTTTTTTTTTTTTTATCAAGTTGTCCTGAGCATAGGACCCAGCAATCCCACTCCAACATATTTACTCAAGAGAAACAAAAACTTTTGTTCATACAAAAACCTATTCGGGGAGAATATTTATAACAGCTTTATTCATAAACAGAAACTAGAAACAACCCTAATGTCCTTCAGTGGTGAATAGATAAACAAGTACATTCATACAATGGAATACCTATTCAACAACAAAAAGGAATGAATCACTGATGCACACAACATGAGAAAACCTCAAATACATTTTTCTAATGTGGAAGATGCCAGATCCGAAAAGGTAATCCTGAATGATTCCATTTTAATGGACATTTTAGAAAACGCAAAACTATAAAGATGGAGATCAGTCATTGTCAGTGGTTGGGAGAAGAAGGATGGTTCGACTGCAGTGGGCAGAAAGGAAACTGGGGGAGGGGAAATTATAGAACTGCTTCTATTTTGATTGTAGTGGAAGCTACATGATTATATTCATGTCTCAAAATTCATTAAATTATATATCAAAGAAAAAAAAAAAAGCTAGTTGCCAAGCAACTCAGTGAGACCCTGTCTCTAAATCAAATACAAAATAGGGCTGGGGATGTGGCTCAGTGGTTGAATGCCCCTGGGTTCAGTCCTCAGTGCCCAAAACAAAAAAGTAAATAAATAAACAATAACAAAAAAATAAAACCAGGGCCTTGCACATGCTAAACATGAACTCTACACTGAGCTACACCCTCAGCCACTCCTGCTTGCTTATTATAAGATTTATTTTAAGAGTAAAAAATTCCCATTTTGCTGTACCCTTACCATTATTAATCATTGTAATTATCATTAATTAGTTATATTTATATAAAATTATATTTATACCATAAATTTTCTGGTTTGCTAGATTGAATTTTAATTAGAATTTCTTTGATTATTAATGAGCTTAAATATTTTTCTGTATGATTGTTAGGTATTTTTCTTTTTCCTTGAATTATCTATAGTGGATATTTTTCTACTGAAATGTTGAGAAAAGGTCTATATTAAATATAAGTACTATAGACTTCTTGTAGGTGATAGAAGTAATTAAATTATTAATTTGCCTATGTAAATATAGGTTTTCTTCACTCATTTTTCAAAGAAGCAAACTTTTATTTCATGTCTTAACATAAGACAAAATACATTTTACTTTTGAGAGATAACTTTTTTCAATCATATCTTTTTAAGGAGCTCCCGTCTTACCTTGGTAAACTGGACGTCCCATTTCAAAGAGGTAATATTTCTCATTTATCACTTAAGCATTGACATTAAAGTATATTCATTTATGCTGAGAAGCCCATCTGTGTCCTCTTATCATAGTTATCTTCTTGTTAAAAGTACTGTCCTGTAAGCTTATTCTCTCAGAACTACAAATATTCGACCTTGATAGGTCATCTGATCCAAAGATGATTAGGCCCAACCATTTAACTAGGTCTCTTTATTTAAATTCACATAAAATTAATTCAAGCTGGAATACTAATTGTAGGAAACTTGAATATTATTGGGAATATTTTGCACTTCTAAAGCTTCAATTCTAGAATATTGCCATAACTTATAGTAGTCATCCATCATGAATGGAATAAAGAATAAGTAAAAAGAAGTAGAAAGGACCTCTCTTGCAGATCTTTCTGGTTCTTGAACTGTTGATTCTGTCATTCAGCTGTGCCATATTTTAAATGATTGAAAAGACTTTTATTACTCAAACTATTTCCTAGCAATTTAATGGTTTTCTTTCATTAGAGAGAGTATTTCTCCCAAAGAAAAGTGTCTCCTTGCCTAATTTATTAGTTACTGCACGTTAGAGTGGAAAATACACCACTTAGAGATATAAGCGCTAAGCAGGTGTAGCCTACCAATATCACAAGTTGGCTTCCCATTTTGAGTGATTCAAATATATAAGTCAATAAAACTACAAGAGGCTGCATGTTATATACCTTGGTATGGTTTGCATATTGTTGAATCCTTGTGAAAATATCAAGAATCTATTTTTATAACTTTTGCAATTTTTAATTTTGATTTTTCATTGATACATAACAATTGTACATATTTGTAGGATACAGTGTTATGTTTCAATACATTATGTGCATTATGTAATGTTCGATCAGGGTAATTAGCATATTTGTCATCTCAGACATTTATCTTTTTTTATGTGGTAGAAACATTTAAAATCCTCTCTTCTGGCTATTTTTGAAATAGACAGTACCTTTTTGTTAACTGTAGTTACCCTACTGAGTAATAGAACACTAGAACTTGTTCTTTTCTAACTGTAACTTTGAATCAATTGGCTAGCCTTCTTCTCCTTTCCCCAGCCTCTGGTAACCATTATTTTGTTGGCTACTTGTATTAAATCAACCTTTTTAGACTCATTACATATGAGGGAAATCGTATAATATTTGTCTTTCTGTGTCTGGCTTATTTTATTTAGCATAATGTCTTCCAGGTTCATCCATGTTGTTGCAAATGACAGAACAGTATTATTATGTTGTATATATGTACATATACACCATATTTTATTTATCTATTAATCCATTATTGGACAATTAGGTTGATTCTATATCTTGGTTACTGTGAATAGTATCAGTAAACTTGGGAATCTCTTTCACATACTGATGTTGTTTCCTTTGAATATATACTAAGTGATGGGATTGCTGCATCATTTTATAGGAAAATTTAAAAATTTTTAGGAACCTCCATACTGTTTTCCATAATGACTATACTTCATTCTCACCAACAGTGTGCAAGATTCCTTTTTCTCCACATCCTCACCAGTACTTGTTTTCTTTTGTCCTTTTGATACCAGCTATCTTATATGGAGTGAGGCGATATCTCATTGTGGCTTAGACTTGCACTGCCCTGATGATTAGTGATATTTTTTCATACCTGTTGGTTATTTGTATGTCTTCTTTTGGAAAATGCCTACTAAGTTTTTTGCCCATTTTAAAATCAGATTATTTGTTTTTGAGTTTTGGTTTGGTTTGCTTTACTATTCTGGATATAAAATATAACAATATAAACACAAAATATCTCTTGGCAAATGTATATCTGCAAGTATCTTTTTCCATTCTATAGGTTGTATCTTCCCTCTGTTGTTTCTTTTGTTGTGATTGGATCTATTGATATTAATTTTTTAAAAGAACAGTAACTACTTCATGAACTAAATTTAAAATTGGCCAGTATAGAACTATGCTTATGGCTTAGTGATTGAGTGCTTGCCTAGAATGCTCAAGGTCCCTATTTTGATCCCCAATACCTCAAAAAGAGAGAAAATTAAAGATAGATAAATAGATAGATAGATAGATAGATAGAATAGATACAGATATATTTATTTTTTATTTATTTTTATTTTTTTGTTACTGAGGATTGAACTCAGGGGTACTTGACCACTGAGCCACATCCCTAGCCCTATTTTGTATTTTATTTAGAGACAGGGTCTCACTGAGTTGCTTAGTGTCTTGCTTTTGCTGAGGCTGGCTTTGAACTTGAGATTCTCCTGTCTCAGCCTCCTAAACTGCTGAGATTACAGGCGTGCACCACTGCACCCAGCTGAAGTTATCTATTTTTAAGGAATGTTTAAATCTGATGTTTATTTAATTTTGTCTTCCAGGTAAGTAGCATTAAATTATGTTTGTTTGAGGAAACACATTTTCATTCTTATAGTTTATAATCCTAATATATAGGAATATATTTCCCATGCTATGTGGCTAGGATTACAGGCATGCACTAGTGAGCTCAGCAAAGCAGATTGGGGCCAGAGAGATTAGGTACCTGAATGACAATCTGAAGTTTGGGCTTTCTTTTGTTTAGGCTTAGAAAGTCACTGAAGATTATTAAGCAGCAAAAGAGTCTTTTTTTTTCCTTCTTGGTACTGGGGATCAAACCCAGGGCCTTCCACATGCTAGACCATTGCTCTTCAACTGAGCTACATCCTCAGTCCCTTTTTTCTGATTTTCATATCTCCTTCATAAAGTAATAAAACTTTTGAATGTGAAGAGAACTTTGAGACCATCTAATGCTGCTTTCCATTAGAGATTAAAAACTAAAGTCTAGGGGCTGGGGATGTGGCTCAAGTGGTAGCGCGCTCGCCTGGCAATGCGTGCGGCCCGGGTTCGATCCTCAGCACCACATACAAACAAAGATGTTGTGGCCGCCGAAAAGTAAAAAAATAAATAAATATTAAAAAAGAAAGATTAAATTAAAAAAAAAAAAAAAAAACTAAAGTCTAAAGATGTGAATTAACTTGATCAAGTTCATACAACAAGTAAATGATAGAGCTAGAATTTGAAATAAATTTCCTCTTTACCAGCCAGTGTTCAGGTATACCATATTGCCTCTCCATCAGATGTCTCCTCAAATGCTATATTAACATGCCAGGTACTCTCAGGTTTCAGACAACTATAAAGAATAATGAACTTTCATTCATATTCCATTCAACTCTTATCATAATTAACTTTGGACAATGACTCAAATGTGAAGTTCACTGCATTTGAAACAGACTACGTAAATACTTGACTCAGAGTAGTCAGAAAGTTGTTCCTTTTTTTTTTTTTTTAATCATATTCTGCTCAGAACTCTTGTTTAGTTTTCTTTAGATATTGGAGAGACTGCCTGAGGAATATAAATTTCAAAATTTTTGCTCTCTTTGTGGTTCACAACTTTACTGGAGAGTACTTGGTTTTGTTTTTGTTTTTCAATTAAAGGAATTTATTACTAGAACTTTCTGTTCGCCATGTTTATACACACTTTCTGTTCCTACCCACTTACCAAACCTATTCAGATGATTTTTAGTGTGTCAGAGCCACTTGGTGTTCATTCATCTCCTAAATCTCTTACCAAATTCTGACTCATCAAGTAATTATTTTCTTTTTTTTTTCAGTTTTTATTATTTATTTTATTTATAATTATTTTCTTTAAAGGGATTCTTCAATGTGCCACAAGCTATATAAAAAGGATCATAAAAAAGTGTTAACCAAAGCGTTATAATCTATCTTACTTTCTTTATTTTATTGGTACCAGGGATTGAACCCAAGGTGCTTAACCACTAAGCCACAGCCCAGCATTTTTTATATTTTATTTTGAAATAGGGCCTTGCTAAGTTGCTGAGGCTAGGTTTGAACTGGCAATCCTCCTGTCTTGACCTCCCAAGCTGCTGGGAGGGCAGGTGTCCACCACCTCACCCAACTCATCCTACTTACTTTATAGTGGCCCTTTTTTATTGTTGTTTTCATAAAAAATTCATAATTTCGATAGTCTAGAGTTGACTATAATTATAGACAGTTTAAAAGTTCTAGCATGCTGTAGGACCCACATCATTCACTGTCATTCAACACACCTATTGCATGCTACTTTTTTTTTTCAAATTGATATTGGGGATTGAACTCAGCGCCACTATCACTGATCCACATCCCCAGCCCTTTCTTTTTCTTTCTTTTCTTTTTTTTTTTTTTTTTTTTGATTTTGAGACAGGGTCTCCCTAAGTTGCTTAGGGCCTCCCTAATTTGCTAGGGCAGGCCTCGCACTTGTAATTCTCCTGCCACAGCCTCCCAATTCACTGAAATTACAAGCATTACAGGCATGTACCACCGTGCCTGACTACTTTTCTTCTTGTAGTCTTCTGTTTCCTTGCTCTGGTTATCCTCTGTCCTGAACAATACCAGGACAAACTTCTCTTTCTCCCACTCTTTTTCTACATTCTATAGGGACCAAGACATCTAAGTTATGTATCTTTACTTCATAATAGCACACATTTTTTCCTACTATACATTTTAATTGCCTTACTCCCTTACTGTTAAATACTAATATTATATTAATTTAACCTATATGTCATTTTGCTGATCCAAAGTTAGTTTTTTCCTGTTTGACTTTTTTCTAAGCTGACCCTTATATCTATCTTACTTGGGTGTAAATAGTCCCTTGGCAATTCTTTTTTTTTTTTTTTTGGGGGGGGGTACCAGGGATTGAACTCAGGGACACTCGACCACTGAACCACATCCCCAGCCCTATTTTGTATTTTATTTAGAGACAGGGTTGAGTTGCTTAGTGTCTTGCTTTTTGCTAAAGCTGGTTTTGAACTCGCAATCCTCCTGTCTCAGCCTCCCGAGCCGCTGGGATCACAGGTGTGCGCCACCATGCCTGACCCATGGCAGTTCTTTAGTCTGTCAAATTAATTTTTCCACACTTGGAAGACAATAAAAATTAAGAAAAAATTTTTTAGTTGTAGATGGACAAATACCTTTATTTAATTTATTTATTTATGTATTTATTTATTGTGGTGCTGAGGATTGAACCCAGTGCCTCACACATGCTAGGCAGCTGCTCTACCACCAAGCTACAACTGCAGCCCCAACAATAAAATTTTTACTTAAGGGGCTGGGGATGTGGCTCAAGCGGTAATGCGCTTGCCTGGCATGCGAGGGACACTGGGTTCCATTCTCAGCATCACCTAAAAATAAAATAAAGATGTTGTATCCACCAAAAACTGAAAAATAAATATCAAAAAATTCTCTCTCTCTTTTCTCTCTCTCGCTCTTTAAAAAAAAAATTACTTAACTAGAATATCATTGTTCAAATGGAACTTTTTGCTGAAAAGTGATGAAAATAATCTGTAATTGCACTTTCTGGTATACCCAATAGCTATATATGTGTGTGTTGAGTACTTGAAATGTGGCTAGTACAACTGAGAAACTGAACTTTAAATTTTATTTAATATTAATTATTTTAAATTTACCTAGTCTTGTGCAGCTACTGCATAAGGGAAATATCACATTCATATTTTTTAGGTTATAAATAAAGATATCAGTTTAAAATAGCTCAAGAGAAAAAAGAGAGAGATTATATAGAATGATAGTGAATCTAACATTAAACATTATTGAATCCAGGGCTGGGGATGTAGCTCAGAGGTAGAGCTCCTTCCAAGCATGTGCAAGTCTGCAAAGAAACAAACAAATAAAAGAACATTATTGAATCCAGAGGCTCAAAAAGACTCTCTTGCTTCATCTTGGGTTTGCTTATCTGTGTATCTTGGGTATTATTCACTTCTACCTTAGGTAGACTTTGTCCAGGTGGTAAAGAATTTGATTCTAGGTATTGATTCATATTCTGTCTACAAGGTGACTTCAAGCCAGGGAAAGCCAGTCTCCTTTATGAACTTCAAGAAAAAGATTTCACTGAGACACAGACTGGGCCAACATGATTCATGTGTCCATTTTGAAGTAAGAATATTCTGATCGGCCCACCCATGGGGGTGAATGGAGAAAGGGAACTGTGATTGACAGCCCTATAAGAACATTGTGTAATAAGGGAGTTATAGTTTTCTACAGGAAAAAACACCAAGTAGACCAAAACAATAACTATGCACTATAAACAGTTTTCAATAATTTAGTTATGTAGTCTATGACAAGTTTGAACTGTCTCAGTAACAAGCACTAGACAACTATTTCAAGATAATTTAAGCAAAAACATAATAAATAAAAATGAATGTATTGTTATCTCTCTGTGTGTCTTTCTCTCCCCACCCACAATTCCTTTTTTAAAAAATTTTATATTGAAAATAGGGTCTAGCTAAATTGCTGAGGCTGGCCTCAAACTTGTGATTCTTTTACTTCAGCCTCTTGAATTGCTGGGATTACAGGCATGAATCACTGTACTCAGCAATTTATTGGTTCTCATAAAAAGTCCAGGGGTTATATGCCTTCATACATGACTCATTCTAGTTGTTCAAGTAATAATTGATTTTTTTCTATCTCCATTTCTTTATTCTTCATTCATCTGTGTTGTCTTTGTTCTCCGAGACACCTTTTTCACATAGATATAGACCCTTGGCCACACATAAATAATCCATTCAGTTGAGAGTTTCAGGAATCCTTTTCCAGTGTCCATACTGTTATATGCATGAAGGGTCTCAGACAGTTCATAAATTCACTCAGGCCAGGTAGGCAGAACCAAAATGATCAACAGTCCCATCAAAATGACACTTGAGTTCCATCTGAATTACAAGGAGTGCAATAATTGAGTATTTCTTCTCTCTTTTTTTAAATTTATATGCTGCTTTTCATATGAACACTTATTATAAATAATTTAATTTTTTGACATAGATTTACTTCTTTGATATGTGTCTTTCTCTTAATTTATAATAATAAGGATGAGATTAAGGATTTTTTACCATTTAGTTCTTTACATTATTGGAACTAGAAAGGAAAAATTTTTACAATGGTTTTATGGTATATACAGTGTGTTATATAAATAATTAGAAGCAAAAGGACTAGGAAAAGAGTAAAAAAAATTCCCTTCTAATTTTTTATTACTTTAAACATTTTTTTTAGATATTGATAGACCTTTATTTTATTCATTTATTTATATATGGTGCTGAGAATCGAACCCAGTGCCTCACACATGCTAGGCAAGTAAACTACCACTGAGCCACAACTCTAGCCCCTATTTACTTTTAATTCTCTTTGAATAATTGTACTGATAAGAATTCTTTAGCACAGTCCTGAATTATTATGTATTTACCTTGCTTGAACATTATTTTTCCTTTCTTTCTTTGAATTTTTTTCAAATTTTCTTTGAATTTTCTTTCTTTGAGCAGGGATTGAATCCAAGGGCACTTAACCACTGAGCCATATCCTACGTCCATTTTATTTTTATTTTTTATTTTAAGACAGTGTCTCAAAATTTACTTAGGATCCAGGTGTGGGGACATATACCTGTAATCCCAGCAGCTCGGAAGGCTAAGGCAGGAGGATTGCAAGTTCAAAGGCAGCCTTAGCAAAAGCAAGGTGCTAAGCAACTCAGTGAGACCCTGTCTCTAAATAAAATACAAAAAATAAATAGGGCTGGAGATGGAGATGTGGCTCAGTGGTCAAGTGCCCCTGAGTCAATCCTTGGTACAAAAAAAAAAAAAAAGTAATTTAGGGCCTCGCTAAGTTGCTGAGACTGGCTTTGAACTTGCACTCCTCCTGCCTCAACCTTCCATGCCGCTGGAATTATAGGCGTGTGCCCTGTGCCTGACCAAACATTATTCTTAATCTCTGAAAAATTCAATGATGATTTCATAGCAAAACTTTAGAAACAATCTCAGTCTCTATTAATAGGGGAATGGTTAAATTAAAATAATCAAATTTTTGTGTAGTTCTTCAGTGAAGTATTTTGAAACCATATAAAAATCACAATAAAATCAGAACAATGGATTATATCATTGTCAGTATCCTGGTTTGATATGGTACTATGGTTTTGCAAGAAGTCATCACAAATAAATCTGGATGAAAGTAGATCAATCTTAAAACTGCATGTGAACCTACAGAATTCTTAAAATGTAAAGTTTAAGAAAAATATAAATCATAATTATAAACAAGGTATAAAAATATTTTTGCATAAAAAATAGGTTAAATTCTTGTAGGCACACTATATTATAACCATATTAAATTTTGCATAGGAAAAAAGTAGAGAAAGAAAGTATACCAAGTGGTCATAATGATTATATCTAAGCTATTAGGTTTTAAATGATATTCTTTTTTTCTTAATGCTTTGCCTCAATTTGTAACTGTCCTCATATGAATACATACTATAACTGTTTTAAAAAAAGTAAATTACCTTTTAAAAATACATTTACAAATCTTGCTTTCTCAGCATGCCAGTGTGAAGGAAAAGATAACCGAATTCCATTACTGAAGGAAGTTTTTGATGCCTTTCCTAATACCCCCATTAACATCGATATCAAAGTCAACAACAATGTGCTGATTAAGAAGGTACTGGAGTCATTGCCTCCTCTTGGTGTGTTGCATCCAATTTCACAAGCTAAATAAGGTCAGAATAGCTGACTGCTTAGGTTGGTAGTGTTCAAGGAAACGTGATACTCCATGGATCAGCATTGTTTTAAATAACATCATGATAGAGGTCATTTTACTGCAGGGGAGTCTATTTTCAGAGTGAGCTGGCACATTTCAGTCATGAATAAAAGTAAACTCCTATGAGCCAATTATTCTGGTATTTATACAATTACCTTCTGGCTTAACGTGTTTAATGTGATACTAATAAATAATTGTATCTGTTAAGTAAATTATATAATGGTAAAATGTAAACAATTTTGTGTTTTTTTAAATAATCCGAAATTTGGTTTTTTCAAAATTTTGTACATCCATTATTTGCAATCAGTTTTAAAGTAAAAATGATACAAGTGAATTTAGAAATAGGCACATGCATAAAATTTTGAATTTTCTCATATAGGTTTCAGAATTGGTGAAGCAGTATAAGCGAGAACACTTAACAGTGTGGGGTAATGCCAGTTATGAAATTGTAGAAAAGTGCTACAAAGAGGTAAGTTTCAAAATGATACAAAATGATCTATCTTTGATTTTGTTATATGTCTATAAATACTTCATTACACACACACACACATATATATATATATTTAGTTGTAGATGGACAAGAATGCCTCTATTTTATTTCTTTCTTTCTTTTTTTTTTTTTTTATGCTGTGCTGAGGATCGAACCCAGTGCCTTACTCATGCTAGGCAAGCACTCTACCACTGAGCTAAATCCCCAGCCCTACACTAATAATTTTTAAAAACTATCTTTTTTTCATAGCCTGCAGAGAAAGACAGATGGTACTGAATGGAGACAACTAGCCAGAAGTTTACTAACAGAGATAATAGATTTGGACCTTGCAATTTAAGTTCAATGTAATTAATTAGACTGGTTCATAGAATTATTCTCACATGCTGATGTAATGGTTGATCACATTTTATTATGTACATTATAAGAAAATATATGACTACCATCTTGTAATTTTTTTTGGAATTGTTTTGTGTAATTTTGAATTAAAGAAAGTGTTTAATCCTCCAACTTCTTTTTGCCTTACTCTTCAAATAGACTTAGTTAAATTAAGCCAAGAAAGATCATGATCATCAGGTAGTATAAAAATCAAGGATATCCACTTATTGAAAATTTTCTGGTTGAAGGAAAAATGACTATAAAAACTAATTTGACCTGGGCATGGTGGTGCATACCTGTAATCCCAGCAACTTGGAAGGCTGAGGGAGGAGGATGGTAAGTTCAAGGCCAACCTGGGAAACTTCACAAGACCCTGTCTCAAAATTTAAAAATAAATAAATAAATAAACAAATAAAAATATAAACAAAAAATAAATAAAAATAGAAAGGACTGGGGGTGTAGCTCAGGGGTAGAGCACTTGCCTAGCATGCACTTTGCCCTGGGTTCGATCCCTACCACTATAAGAGGAGGAAGGGCCAGAGAGGAGGAGAAGAAGAAGAAGGAGGTGGCAGGGGAAGAGGAGAAGGACTCTTATGAGACAAGTAGCAGTTCTCAAATACAAAGAACTTTTGGGATGGTCATTCCTACAAAAAAGGCAAAATAACCACAGTCACCACCATTATAATTCAAAATACAGCTGAGACTCTCATTGAAGCAAATACTTTCTGTTTATGAACAGTAGGTTCTGTGAGATCCTGAGATAGCTTGTGTACAAAGGAAACTTGGCTGAGTGACTTCAAATGCCTAAGAAGTTAAAAGTAAGACTTTTCCATAACTAATTATTGTCTAATGGTATTTTTGTATATTACTCTGCCTACCAACCTTTTTACACCATCATAAAACTTTTCAAATAAAAAAACAATGATAAGGGGCTGAGGGTTGTGGCTCAGCAGTAGAGCGCTCGCCTAGTGCATTCGAGGCCCTGGGTTCAATCCTCAGCACCACATAAAAATAAATAAATAAGGTCAAGGTATTAAAAATAATAATAATTTTAAAAATAATGATAATACTAAATGCTAAAAAGGATGAAGAGAAACTGGACTTCTCATAGGTTGCTAGCGGGGCCTGTAAAATAGTATAGTCACTCTCTTCAGTACTTGAATAGTATTTTTTTTTAATAACTAAACATCCATTACCATATGAACCAGTAATTTCATGTTAGGCATTTATCCCAGAAAAATGTAAACTTATGGACACAAAAACCTGTACATGAATGTTTACAATAACCTTATTCATTTAAACAAAATCCTGGGAAAACCACAAATGTCCTTCAGTACATAAATAGCTAACAAATTCTGGGACATCCATATAGTAGGGTACTATTCAGCAATGAAAGTTGCTGAATGAACTATTGATACATGCAACAACTTGGATGGTCCTCAAGGACATTATGCTTAGTTAAAAAAATCTCAAAATGCTATATGATTTTGTTTATATAACATTCTCAAAACTGTAGATATGGAGAAAAAATCAGGGGACAGCAGCTGAGGATGGGGTAGAAAGTAGGTACCAATATAGAGATAGCACAAGGGGCTTCTTGTGTGGTCATGAAACAGTTCTGTATCTTGCCTGTGATGATGCTTACAAGAATCTATATATGGGTTAAAATTGCATAGAAATTAATCTCTCTCTCTCTCTCTCTCTCTCTCTCTCACACACACACACACACATACACACACACACAAATGAATACATTTTAAAAATGGGGAAGAAAAGAAAAAAATGGTGAAAACTGAATAAAGTCTGTAGTCTAATTAACAGTAATGTACCAATGTCAATTTTTGGTTTTGATACTATACTACGATTACATTAGATATCACCTTTTATGGAAGCTGAGTAAAGGGTAAATGAGACTCTACTGTTTTTTGCAACTTCCTGTAAGTCTGTAAATAGTTCACAATAAAAAGATCACTGTTGGTCCATAATCATAGAATTTTGCCCTTGATTCACGTCCCCCACCCGACCCCAAGCCTCTGGCTTTCTATTATATTGAAAATTCCCAAACTCTTTCAGCATAATATTCAAACATCACAGTAAAAATGTTTCAATAATATTTGTCATTCATGTTAACAACATTCTGTATAATAAGTGATATGTCTTTTACAGTTTGTAAAGTATGATTTATAAGAATTTTACAAGCTGGGCATGGTGGCACATGCATGTAATCCCAGCAATACAGGGGGATTGAAGGTTCAAAGCCAGCCTCAGCAACAACAAGGAGCTAAACAACTCAATGAGATCCTGTCTCTAATAAAATACAAAAAAAACAGGGCTGGGCATGTGGCTCAGTGGTTGAGTGTCCCTGAGTTCAATCCCCACACCCCCCAAAAAACTAAATAAATAAAAATAAAAAGGGCTGAGGATGTTGCTCAGTGGTTAAGTATTTGGGCTTAATCCACAGTATCAAAAAAAAAAAAAAAAGATATAGAATATGATTGTTGTTAAACATTTGCCAGCCTACCACTCTTCTCCCACCCCCACAGGCAGCCTTGCATAGCTCTCTAGAAGTACCCAGTACTTCTTTTAGTGCTCTGGTTCCAAAGTTGCATAAGTTTTGAGCGCCAGCCCCAACCCTATTTTTCCCCTAATCTCACTAATCCTTAATGTATAAATTTGCAGAACTCTAGGTTTTTCAGGGTCTTGAATACTGTGTTACAGATAAACATGTGTATATAAATAAGTAAAAAATGTTACAAAGCATCATATGAACACAGGCAAAATAAATCCTCAAACTTCCTTATTTTTTGTTAAATAAATAAATAGGTCATTTACTTTAATTATTTAAAATCAATTCTTTTTGCATGATTTAAAAATATTATAGGGCTGGAGTTGTAGCTCAGTGGTAGAGCTACAAAATGGTAAAGATGCTAAATTTTATGTTGTGTGTATTTTACCAAAGTGAAATATACAGGCACATATACACATATCCTGCAGTTTCAAAAAGTTTTGGAATGCTGAACACATTTTTCAATTGAAACTTAAAATAATGATTAGATTCTTGGCCTAACTTACAAAATCCTATTTATACTTTTAGGTTTGATCCATAACACAGCTAAAATATGACATATACAAATTGATATAATCTCTGTATACTTTCTCCTGTCTCAACAGGTATATTAAATGGGAGTTAGATTACTATTTCATACATCTTTTTATTTTGTTCTATTAGATTTTGGTATGTTTAGTTTCTAGTTGTGAATACTGTGGCCAACAGAGAGAGTGGTGTTGTAAAAACAAAGAAAAATATAGGGAGTAGAGAAACTTTACTAACATTAATTATACAATGGGACTCCAAGGTAGATCTTTACTATTTTTTTTTTTCCTATCCAAATTGGGTTTTTAGGCTGGGGCTATGGCTAGGTGGTAGAGTGCTTGCCAAGCATGCATGAGGCACTGGGTTCAATCTCAGCATCACATAAAAATAAACAAAATAAAGGTTTAAAAAATGGGTTTTTATTCGTCATAGTCAACTGACACATACAGGTACAAAAATTATAAAAATAAACCAGTAGATATTTAAAGGCAAAAGCAAAAATTTGCACATTGAAATTCATACTCTTTTGTTTCAGACTAGCCATTTAGTGTATCTGTAAATGGATATTCACAATTTGGTGATTGCTTGCAATAGATGTCAAGATATAGTCTTGGTAAACTTTGAGACTTATGAAATAATCCTCTTTATTTGAGCAATTACTGTAAAGTAATATATAATATTGTTTGTCTTTTAGAATTCAGATATTCCTATACTCTTCAGTCTACAACGTGTTCTGCTTATTCTTGGCCTTTTCTTCACTGGCCTCTTACCTTTTGTGCCCATTCGAGAACAATTTTTTGAAATCCCAATGCCTTCTATCATACTGAAGTAAGTGCTTATCCTTTTTTCATCAATTATCAATTCTAGAAGGATTAAGATAAAGTCTTGCCGAGTGCAGTGGTGCAAGCCTGTAATCCCAAGGGCTTGGGAGGCTAAGGCAGGAGGATTTTGAGTTCAAAGACAGCCTCAGCAAAACGAGGCACTAAGCAACTCAGTGAGACCCTAAATAAAATACAAAACAGGGTTGGGGAAGTAGCTCTGTGGTCGAGTGCCTCTGAGTTCAATTCCTGTTAACCATCCCCCGCAAAAAAAATAAAGCTCGTTAATATCAGTATTGCTTTTTTTTGTTTGGTGCTAGGAATTGAATCCAGGGCCTTGCACATGCCAAGCAAACACTCCACCACTGGGTTACACCCACTCTTAGTTATGGTTTGTCCCCAATAAACTCATTTTGGGCTTGGTCCCCAAAGTAACTGTACTGAGTGATGGTAAGAATGTGATTAGGTCACTAAGTCACTAAGAGGATTAAAGCCTTTCTTATGGGAATGAGTTCTTGCCTTTGGCTTTTTCTTGCTTCTTTTGTATACTTGCCTTTCTTCTGCATATTCTTTACTGCTTTTCTGTTACCATGAGGCCCTCACAAGAAGCCATCCAGATACCATTGTCATGCTCTTGGAATTCTAAAACTGTGAGCCTAATAATCTCTTTTCTTTATAAATTTCCCGACCTTGGGTATTTTGTTATAGCAACAGAAAACAATCTAGGATAAATATCATTGTTAAATAATAGGTTTTGCTGGGTTGGGGAGTATTTCTATGGTAGAGCACTTGATAACATGCATGAGGCCCTGGATTTTTGATCCCCATCATCACATACACACACACACACACACACACCAGATTTCTGTAGTTATCTCCATGTTCTGTTCCCTGACAGAGAGAGAGAATTTTTTTTAATATTTATTTTTTAGTTTTCGGCAGACACAACATCTTTGTTTGTATGTGGTGCTGAGGATCGAACGCGGGCCGCACGCATGCCAGGTGAGCGCGCTACCGTTTGAGCCACATCCCCAGCCCTCCCTGACATAGTAATAATGTTTTTTGAGATAATTTTAAGACACATTTTCCAAATTAAATAATAAAGGATTATACTTTATCTGAACTAATCTCAGGTTACAACTTCCCATGCCTGTATACTCAGAAGTCAGACAAAAAGAAATGAGCTTAAGTACAGAAGCTTAATAATTATTTTATTCTGACATCAAATAACAATTGCCCTTTATTTTATTCTTCTTCATTGATAGTAATATACAGCTAAATCTCCATTAAACTCCAAAATCACCAGCAGGAATAATACATTTATGAAGAAAAACCACTACTACCATCACCAAAAAGGTGAAGAGGAAAAAAAAAAAACTTTGGAAATAAGAGAAAGAAAAGGTTAATTTAGTTTGTATGAGATACTTATGTGTTTACATAATTTCTCTATTAACTACAGAGTCTTGCTTTCCATTCACAAATTTAAAAGATGAAAATGTTTAAAATGTTTACTGTTGCCTGGGAAATAATCAACAGTACTCAATAGTTGTTAAATTGTATTTGTTGTTATTATTAAAGAACTCTTCATCTCAAAATGCTACATACTTAGAATGTGATTTCTTCTTTTTAATTAGGGCATTATAGTTGTACATAGTAGTTAAGTTCATCCCGACAAAATCATACATGCATGGAATTCAATTTCAGTTCACTTTCCCTGCCTTTTCTCTCCCCTTCTTACTTCCCTCATTCTCTTTCCTCTTCTCTAAAAGTCTTCCTTTCATTCATCTCTTTATTTATTTATTTGTATGTGGTGCTGAGGACTGAACCCATTCCTCACACAGGCTAGGCAGGTGCTCTACCACTGAGCTACAACCCCAGTCCCATCTTTATGTATTTTTAATTTATTCTTTCTACTTATATGTAAAGGTGAAATTCCCTGTGGTATATTTATATATGCACATAGCATGGTCTTAAAAAATTACTTCCTTTTTCCTGTACCTTTTTTCTTTATATATATATATATTAATTGTAGATGAACACAATACCCTTATTTTATTTGTTTATTTTTATGTAGTACCAGGGATCAAACACAGTGCCTCATGCATGCTAGGCAAGAGCTCTACCACTGAGCCACAACCCCAGCCCCATCCTGTCCCTCCTTTCTCCCTCTAGTTTCCTTCTTCACTCTGCTGGTCATCCCTATATCTTTATCTTTTTTGTTCTAGCTTCCACATATGAGAGAAAACATTCAGCTCTTGATTTTTCTGATACTGGCTTATTTCACTTAGCATGATGTTCTCCATTTCCATCCATTTACCAGCAAATGCCATAATTCCATTCTTCTTTATGGATACATAATGATATATATATAAAATATTATATATGATTTTTCTTAATCACATTCTTATCCATAGAATGTGATTTCTAGCTATAGATTTCATAAGAATAACTAAGCCATGACAAAGGAATTTGGAGATTCTGGGGAGATCATTTAAATGTGATTTTACCTGCATGAAAACATTTTTCTACCCAAAATAACTTTAAAAAATAAAAATAAACATTAGTGGGCTGGAGGTGTGGCTCATCGGTAGTGCACTTGCCTGGCATGTGTGAGGCACTGGGTTTGGTTCTCAGCACTGCATATACATAAATAAAATAAAGGTATATCAACAACTAAAAAATATTAAAAAATAAAATAAACATTAGTGCAGCAGTCATTAGAAAATATAGGTAAGATTAACAATTAGGTCAATACTCTTATGTTTACCTTTCCTTCTATGCCTTCCTCCCTTTCTTTCTTTCTTACTAGGGATTGAACCCAAGGGTACTTTACCACTGAGCTACATCCCCAGCCCTTTTAAAATTTTTTATTTTGAGACAGGGTCTCACTAAGTTGCTTAGGGCCTCACTAAATTGCTGAGACCAGTCTTGAACTTGCGATCTTCCTGCCTCAGCCTCCTGAGTTGCTAGGATTACAGGTGTGTACCACTGTAACTGGCTTAACTTCTGTTTGTTGCCTGTTTTCCAGCTGAGTTTCTTAGTGATGAGGATGTTTATTATATCTGTCCTCAATTATATTTATAAAAAGTCCGTGTAGCTATTTCTCAGACAAAACAACAGAAAACACTTTTTTTTTGGGGGGAGGGTACCCCGGATTGAACTCTGGGGCACTCAACCACTGAGCCACATCCCCAGCCCTATTTTGTATTTTACTTAGAGACAAATTCTCACTGAGTTGCTTAATGCCTCACCATTGCTGAGGGTGGCTTTGAACTCGCTATCCTCTGGTCTCAGCCTCCTGATTAATTCCTTCTGGGATTACAGGCGTGCGCCACCATACCCAGCAGAAAACACTTCTTAACTACAAAGAAACAATTTTCATTTGCTATAGTAGAATGATTCCTGGGATTAGAGGTTTAGCTCAGTGCTAGAGTACTTTCTTTTATATTTTATTTATTTATTTTTAGAGTACTTTCTAAGCCTGTGAGAGGCTCTGGGTTCTATTCCCAGCAACACACACACACACACACACATACAATAAAGTGATTACTAACCATGTATAGCTTTTCTCCTGCCTGGAGCTGAATGTTATGCTCTTTAGATTATCTATATGTGTTTCTTTTGGAAAAAATATTGTTGAAATACCAAATAAGAAGCACAAACACTATAGCATTAGTCTTTTCTCTAAAAAGTGATTATGGATTAAAACAGGTAGAATACTATTTGTGTGTGTTTCAATGTTTGAAGGAGAACAATGGATACTTACATAATCTAATAATTGTATTTAATGAGGTAATTAGTATCCCTGAATTCCTGAAATTTCAACCAGGAGTTTCCGTCTCAGAGTTAGAGAAAAGAAGAACTTGTACTTTATTCAGAGAGCTTCTAATAAAACTTGAACTCAGACAGAAAGTTAAAAGAGGAATTTAACAGTTGTGGACTCTCAGAATTTAAGAGTGTAGTCAGAAGGGGTGTCAGAAAGAAAACAGGAAACGAAGCTCTGGGAAGAATGAAAATGACTTTGTGCTGATAAACTTAGAAAGCCTCTGAGAAATCTTGGTAGGCGAGAGGAGTGTCAGAGATTTCCTTTGGATACCAGCCCAAGTTAGTGACACAGGTAGTTAGTTATTTGGCTCAAGCCTCAAAGAGATGGGAGGAGGACACTCAGCATGGGGCTAAAAAGTCAGGTAGAGGCTTTTAGTAGGAAAGATAATTTTAAAAGGACAGGTCCAAGTCCTCAAATATTGAAAAGGAAAGAAAAATATACATTATACGCTCATTTTTTACCCCAAATATCTTTTTTAATTCATAGCACAATTTAGTTGTGTGTTTAAATCTACTACATAGGAAATTATAGCCAAGGAGGAGAAAGAGGTTGTCTAAAAGAGAGGATCATGATAAATCCAGGGCACCAGGTCTCTGAAATATAATTTTTATTTTTATCTTCAAATAGTGATAGCAAAAAGTTAGCTTGAGGCCTGTGGAAACAGAACTGACTGGGCTTTTTATTATTGTTGTCCTTTTCACAAATATTCTTTTTAAGAACATAGTAAGACATGCATGGTCTTTTTTTTTTTTTTTCGTTTCATTTTTGAACTTGGCTTATTCCTGTATTTCTAATTTTTAATTCAAACTTTATCTTTCCTCAGGCTAAAGGAACCACACACCATGTCCAGAAGTCAAAAGTTTCTCATCTGGCTTTCCGATATGTAAGAATTTTAGTTTCTTGATATGCAGGTTATTGCTCTGTGTTTAATAAATATCACATTTAAAATTTAGTGCAAGCTTCCCACATGGAATTTGCAACAAGGACTTGGTGAGCACCTCCTAAGCAAGTGGATGTATGTGAATCATTTAGAAGTAGCTTAATTACTTACTAGACACAAAAACCTCAGGAGGAATTTTGAGAGTTAATGTCATCCACCTTTGTGGGAAAACTGAGCCCCCATTCACCCAGTGAAATGATTTACTTGGGGTCATGTAGCTAATTAGTAGCAGAGTTGTGGTAAATAGCCTTCTACTTATTCACTGATTCCACTAGTTCACAAATAAAAACATGGTGAAAAGAAGTGTGCAAAACAATATGTAAAAATATATATTGCCTACTGGCACATTTTTTAGAAACATTTGTACCAAGACTCAGCAACAGAGAGATCCTTCCTGCAGGGTGAAGACACACTTTAAAGAAAAATGCCTTAATTTTTACAATATATTGAGTTTAATTTTAGGTAAAATTATGTAATTGTTTTATGTTTTGCTTTAGAATGGAGCCTTGAATATTAAATATGTTAATAGTCCTAAATCACAATCTTTTATTTATTTCTTTTTTATTACCGGGGATTGAACCTAGGGGTGCTTATCCACTGAAAACCCCCATCCCCCATCAGCATTTTTAAATATTTTATTTAGAGATAGAGCCTCGATGAGTTGCTAAGTGTCTTGCTAATCTGCTGAGGCTGAAGCTCCTGACCTGCTGGGATTTCAGGCATGCAGCACCATGCATGGTACAACCTTTTATTATGTAGCTCCTCTTTCAAAGTTTTGGAAAATTGATTTTATGTTTTTTTCTGTGCCACAGGTTTTTTTTTTCCTTTATTCTTGATTTAATTTCTAGTTTTCAAGAACGCGCTTTTATTTTTTTTAATATTTATTTTTTAGGTGTAGTTGGACACAATGCCTTTATTTTATTTACTTATTTTTATGTGGTGCTGAGGATCGAACCCGGGGCCTCACACGTGCTAGGCGAGCGCTCTACCGCTGAGCTACAACCCCAGCTCCAGCGCACTTTTAATTGGTGTTAAAAGCACATCAGGGGGCTAGAGTTGTGCATCAATGGTAGAGTGCATGCCTAGCACATGTGAGGCACTGGGTTCCATCCTCAGCACCACATAAAAACAAATAAATAAATAAAGTTATTTTTTTTAAAAGCACATGATTTCAGGTTTTTCTTACTTAAGATCATTCTAATAGATACAACTGAATAGAAATAATATGTATGACTTTCAGATGGGTGCCATGGCGCACTTCTGTACTCCCATCAACTTAGGAGGCTGATGTAGGAGTATCACAAGTTCCAAGCCAGCCTCAGAAATTTAATGAGACTCTGTCTCAAAATAAAAAGTAGAAATGGCTGGAAATGTAGCTCAGTGGTAAAGTGCCCCTGCATTCAATCCCCAATACAAAAAAAAAAAAAGAAGAAGAAGAAGAAGGAAAGAATACATATAACTTTCCAGTACAATTAGTTCATATCTTGTTCAAGTGACTTGTAGTCTAAAAGTGCACTTTTAGTTATTTGAAACTAAAATTAAAAAAAAAAAAAACTTTTTCATAGGTATTGAATAGTATAACTAATGGATATGTGATTTCTAAGATAACTAACAAAAGACTAGTTTATTATGTAACTGAAGTATGATGGTAAAGAACTTGACATGAATTTCCTGCTTTATTTTAACCTGGCACCTTAACACCTCCTAGCTCTCTCACTCTCATTATGGCTCCAGCAGGGAAAGTGAGCAAGCTTTTTCTCCATTAAGGTTTCCATGAGAATGGATCTTCTGGTGGCAGTACTGGGGGAGGTTCTCATTGTCCACCAGCCAGCAGCCAACAGTTAAGGGGGATCCAGCAGTTAAGATGTGAATTTATCCCCAGGAGCTACTATTACTTAAGACCTTTGCTTGTATTGCTGGAGTTTGGGGATTCAATTAAATAAAGAATTACGAATCTCAAAATTGACCAAGGTAGGACTGAGGACTAATTCTAGTCAGTAGTTAGGACTAAGAAATACAGCAGGGCATGGTAGCTTGTGATCCCAGCAATTTTGAAAGCCAAGGCAAAAGGATCACAACTTCCAGCAATTAAGCAAGACCCTAAGCAACTTATGGAGACCCAGTCTCAAAGGATAAAAAGGGATGTAGTTCAGTGGCAAAGCATGCCTGAGTTAAATCCCCAGTACTAAAATAAAACAAAAAGAAAAAAGAAAGAAATACCTAAATCTGTTCTGCCTTTCTTTTCTAGTTTATTAATGAGGAAAGCTTTATTTGACCACCTCACTGCCCGAGGCATTCAAGTAAGTTTCGGGAACAATGCATTTTGAAAACAGTGTAGCTTATCAATTTACCACAAGTGTAAAGGGTAGGGGCCTTTAACTGACTTAATTTGAACCCAGATTCTGGTGTTGTTCCCTTGCTGATTCACAAATGAGGACATTAAGATCTACCTTATAGTTAGTAATAAAGCATTCGTGTTTCTGTAGCTAGATAGCTCTTTATATAGTATAGACGAGAATAGCTAAGTCAGAGGGGTTGGGCAGTGCATGTTTAATGAGCAAGTGGAATTTTTTATAAGTTTACTGATTTCTTAAAATGGCAACTTTAAGAAGTTCTAAGAATGTTGAGATTATATAGATAAATGTTATAAAAATATTTTTCTCTTTTAACATTTGTTTTCATACTTGTGATTTTGATTTCCAGGTGTATGTTTGGGTATTAAATGAAGAACAAGAGTACAAAAGAGCTTTCGATTTGGGAGCAACTGGAGTGATGACAGATTATCCAACAAAGCTCAAGGATTTTTTACATAATTTTTCAGCATAGAAAAAGGAAGTATTCAAAGAAAACACAAAAAGACCTAAGAAAATAAAATTTCACCGTCATTTCCCTAAGATATTTCCAGAATGGTAAAAGTTTTAATCAGTTAAGTGTTTATTACCTCATTTTTAAGCCTGTATGAGAATGTAGAAACAATATATTGTATATTTATTTCAAACAATATTGCATATTTCACATTTATAAATTGTTTAGAAAGATAACTTGTTTTGAGATGTAAGTAGATTATTAAGATGTCTGTATATACCATTGTGGTGGAACACTCCTGTAATCCCAGCAGCTCGGGAGGCTGAGGCAGGAGAATCACAAGTTTGAGGCCAGCCTCAGCAATTTAGCAAGGCCTTAAGCAATTTAGTGAGACCTTCTCAAAATTAAAAAAAAAAAAAAAGTCTGTATATGATGCTGTATTCTACTAGTCTAAGTAATTTTGAAATCAAAGGCTATTGGATAAACTTGTCATTAGCTCTCACTGGAATAAGATCAACTAATTTAGTAAAAGAAAATTATTGAAGGTCATTAGAGCTGTTTCGCATTGTTTCATTATCTCTAGATACATCTTAGTGAAAAGGGAAAAATACAATGGAAGAAGAGCTTGAAAATCAATGTCATAATTATCTGGCAAGTTATGCATCATTAATAGAAGGCAAGCTCAAAGAAATACTTTATCAGAAACAAAATCTGTAGACTAATTAGATTTCTCAGTTGCTGTTGTTATGGGGATATTGTACTTGTAATCTTTTTCAGGTGTGTAACAATGCTACCATGTCTTTTTTAATACATGAAAAATAGACTTTTAGGGCTAGGGCTGGGGCTAGGGCTGAGTGGCAGAGTGCTTGCCTGGTATGTGTGAGGCACTGGGTTTGATCCTCAGCACCACATACAAAAATAAGCAAATAAAATAAAGTCATGTTCTCCATCTACAACTACCAAAAAATTTTAAAAAATACTTTTGGTTTTAAATTAAAACAAGATCCAAATAATCATGTTTTTATGTTTCCTCTAAAGAAATCTAAGATTTTCATTTTCTGTCATTGACTTGACTGTTTGAACCTATATCTAGATTTTAAATAATATCTTGAATCCTAATAATCATATGAAACTGATGAAAGTACATATCATTGTTTCTAATACATACAGTATGAACCATCTGTTGCTGATCCTTAAGGATTCCTTCTTGGGCTGGGTATGTGGTTCAGAGGTAGAGCACTTGCCTAGCATGTGCAAGCAAGGCCCTGGGTTCAATCTCTAGCATGGAAAAAAAAAAAAAATCATTCTTTAGAGTATGAAGTAGAAAGAGAATGTAATTTTCCAAACATTAGACATCACTTTCTCAGCTGTTCTGATGTGACTTCGTGTAATCTATCTCTAATATTTTTAACTAATTTTATGATCTCAGATTGGAAGATAAATATAATCTGGAGTAATAAATGTCTTTTACCTAGATTATGCCTCTCATTTGGAATTTGCCAACGATGTAGCTATAAAGGATGACCATACTCTCATCTGTTCCTGGATGACATAAATATCATTTGCTTTGTTGTTTAAACTGAAATAAAGTTTTCCAAGAACAAAATAAGTGTTCTCAATTTTCTTTTTACAATTATAATTCCAAATACACTTTATAGATTTCTTGCAGAATTTAATGAGATGGTATGAGTAAACAGCTGAGATTTCTCTCTAGAATAGAGAAAAATAAAAGAAAAAATGGAAACACTTTTATTGTAAGAAAATTACTTCTTGGCAATTCTATAAAAAACTTGGGCAAGTAATCTATTAAGTCAATCATTTTCACTTTTATTTATTATAATTTATAATTTTCATTTATTGTAATGTATTTAACTTATTACAATGTGTAATTATTTGCTAGGGGTTTGATCATCTTTAATAAAATTCTTTTTGTTCAAATTTGCTTTGTTATGATTCAGAGAAGGTCATATTATAAAGCTAGCACATATTTTATGTGAACCAGTCAAAGATAAGTTACCTAAAATGACTGAAATGTTTTTTTTTTTTTTTTTTTTTTTTTTTTTTAATATTTATTTTTTAGTATTTGGCGGACACAACATCTTTGTTTGTATGTGGTGCTGAGGATCGAACCCGGGCCGCACGCATGCCAGGCGAGCGCGCTACCGCTTGAGCCACATCCCCAGCCCCATACTGAAATGTTTTTTAAAAATCATGTTTTTCACTGTGGACAGTTGCTGATAGTGGTTACAGGACAATGTAATGTAGGTGATGCCACTAAAGTGTACACTTAAAAAAGTAAAAAAAAAAAAAATCATGTTTTAAAAGTTTGATGATTTTATAATCAAGGTAACTTTAAGTCTCAATTAAAATATAATATCTATAGAAAGGGGTTTGATATTCATTACCAAGTGACATCAGAATAATGCTTTTTGGTTGGGATATCACCTTTTAAAAGAGGTTCAGATCCTGGCATTGTGGCACATGCCTATAATCACAGCTACTCTAAAGGCTGAGGCAAGAGGATCACAAGTTTAAAACCAGCCTGGGCAACTTGTAGAGAACTTGTCTCAAAATAAAAAATAACAAGTGTTGGCTTCATGGTAGAGGTTTAATCCCTAACACACACACAAAAAAAGTATAATATTCTAATACCATTTCATTTTGAGATATAAGTGGACAGTCTTTGACTAGAGAAGTAGTCAAAAAAAATGTGATCAGATTCCCTTGATGTGAGCCTAGCACTGGATGTGGTAGACAGCTCTAGGTTTGTCTTGTGTGCCAATAGTATTTCATATGCATAACAATAAACCACAGTTGGAAGGTAATTAAGCAAGCAATTGTCATGAGGGTGTGGGTGAGACTATCTGTAGAATGAGAGTCCTAGGCAGGTTACCAGGGCAAAACAGGGCACTAGGTGCCAATTCTAGGGCCCAGGTCTTAGAAAGCTCATTTAACAGAATGATAACACTGGAAATAAGCACAGGGATAAATTGGACTGAGTCTCACAGAGTCTTAAACCTCTTTTATGGCCAGGACTGGGTCTAGAAGTTGGACAGGTGGGTGACTATAGAGGTGGGCATCTAGTTGTTACACTGTGGAGGATGAAATGGCTCTAGTGAGTTGGGAGGAGAGCATAAAACATAAATAACAGGGGCTAGGATGTAGTTTCGTGGTAGTGCACTTGCCTAACATGCAAGAGGCCTTGGATTCTATTCCCAGCACTACAAAAGCAAAAACAAAACTCCAAAACACATAAATTACAGTAATGTTCCAGTAGGGGAAACCACTAACATAGAATGCAGTGTAAATAGTTCTGTCTAGAGATGTGCAACATGGTGTCCCCAGAACTAATCCATTAATTAAAGAAAACACAGGCCTGGGGATATAGCTCAGTAGGTAGAGTGCTTGCCTTGCATGTACAAAGCCATGGGTTCAATCCCCAGTTCCACAGGAAAGAAAAAAAAAAAAAGTCAAAAGAGAATCTGGCCAGCCACAGTGGTGCACACATGTAACATCAGCAATTTGGGAGACTGAGGCAGGAGGATTGCAGGTTCAAAGCCAACCTCAGCAACTTAGCAAGACCCTGTCTCAAAATTAAAAAAAATAAAAAGGGTTGGGGATGTGGCCTAGTAGATAAGGCCTGTGGGGTCAATCCTTGTTACCCACCCACACCCCCCAAAACAAAAAAAAAATCTGCTATAGATAAGTTTCAATTTAAGGAAGGTCACGAATTCCAGCTTGAAGAATTTGTTCTGAACTGAATGTCATGTCCTAAGTAGGTGGCCAAACTTGAAACATTAAAAATAAGAAATGAAAATGCTAGGCAGTAATAGGACAATCATTTCAGTCCCCAAAAGAAAGTGTAAATAGTAGTTGGAGACCAGGCACTAAAATAAGATCAGAACTAAAACAGTCAGATCAAAGAGTCACAGAGAAGATCAGAATGCTGGGAGTATAATGACATTCATAAAGTCACTATTGATGTTTAGGTTTTCTGCCTCATTTGTATAGCATTGCCAAAATGGAGAGTTGGATAGTCCTATAATCTGAAATAAAGATAAAAGCCTATAGCAGAGAACAGTCTAGAAACTGTTCAAAGGCTAAACAGATCCATACAGATCTAATTGCTAAAAAGTAATTTAGCGGGCTGGGGATGTGGCTCAAGCGGTAGCGCGCTCGCCTGGCATGCGTGCGGCCCGGGTTCGATACTCAGCACCACATACCAACAAAGATGTTGTGTCTGCCGAGAACTAAAAATAAATAAATTAAAAAATAATAATAATAAAAAATAAAAAGTAATTTAGCAAGAGCTGAAGGTGCCCTCGGTGGTAGAGTACATGCTTAGTATATGAAAAGCCCTGGGTTCCAGTGACTTGGGAGGCTGAGGCAGGCAGATTGCAAGTTTGAAGAAGCCAACCTTAGCAATTCGGCAAGGATTTAAGCAATTTAGGGAGACCCTGTTTCAACAGGAAAAAAGGACTGGGGATGTGGCTCAGGGGTACAGTGTCCCTAGGTTTAATCCCCAGTACCAAAAAAAAAAAAAAAAAATCTGAAATTATATCCACCAGTGTCCATAGTGTTTTTTGTTTTGTAGACAGAGTCTCTCTATGTTGCCCAGGCTGACTTTAATCTTCTGTACTCAAGTGGTCCTCCTATCCAGCCTCCTGAGTGACTGGGACTATAGAGGTGGTGCTACCCTGCCTGGGCCTAAAAAGATTCTTATTTTTTTAGTGGTAGTGGAAAATTAAATTCAGGGCTTCTCATGCTAAACAAATGCCCTACCACTGAGCTACACCCCCAGCCCTCAAAAGATTTCTTAAATATACAGTACAACATCCTACACAATTGTTGTATAGCAGATCTCTGGAACTTACTCATCTTACATAACCAAAATCTTATACCTACCAATGAGCAACTAACTCCCCTTTTTTTCCTTCTTACTAGTCCTTGGCAATGCAACTCTATTCTTTTCCTTCTATAAGTTTGACTATTTTTACACTCACATAAGTGAAAAGTAAATGGTCTAAGTATAGTGGCCTTCTGTGACTAAGGTTTATTGCATTTAGCACAATGTCTTTAGGGTTCATGCATGTTGTAGGATTTAATATTGCAAAGTTTATACAAAGCCCTGAGGCAGGAAAGAGCTTGGTGCTTAATGAGAATAGAAAGAAGAGTGAAAAATAAAGAAGGGGAAAGGAACAGAACACAAGTGGAGAAACAGACTTTCAGAAGAAGGACTCTTCATTGTAACAGAAGAGCAATTTAGGGATAAAAGCAGGATTTTGTAGCTTTCATTGTACAAAGATAAGTTTCTACCTGATAGTTTCTGATTTCTCATTAATGGATGAGTTGAGGTCTTTAGCTAAAACTGAAAATGAGTAAAGGGTGTATATGTTTCAGGAAAGGGAAAGCTTGTCATAGACTTTCTAGGGAGTGGGAATGTGAGCCTATTGGAGAAAGAGTGGGATTGCTGGATAGATCCAAGGACTAATTTGAGGCTTGAGATTTTGCATTTAAAATGAAATCAGGAGCTGGCAGTATAGCTCAGTGGTAGAGTGCTCGCCTAGCAAGCACAAGGCTCTAAGTTTGATCCTCAGGAAGAAAGAGAGAGAGAGAGAGAGAGAGAGAGAGAGAGAGAGAGAGAGAGAATTCTGAAGAGTTTAATGGGGAAAATAATAAGTAGAGAGCTGAGCTTTAGAATGCACCCAAAGAAAACAGATGTGGTCTGAAAAATAGAAGTAGTGGGACTGGGGTTCTGGTTCAGTGGTAGAGTACTTGCCTAGCACATGTGAGGCACTGGGTTGGATCCTCAGCACTGCATTAAAAAACAGACAAACGGTATCATGTCCATCTACAACTAAATAAATAAATAAATAAATAGAAGTAGAGGAGTATAATGTCCTCAACCCATGAAAGCAGAAATTTTAAGAATGAAGGTGGTTATCAGAAGTGCCCCAAATGGGACACTGAAATCAAAGAAGGCAAGGGCTTAGAAAGGATGACAGCATTTGCTTTAAAAGGAGGCCTCTGTGACTTTGGTTCATTTACTTCTTTAGTTGGTGAAAATGATACCACACCACAAAGGGAGAAAGAGGGCTGAACAATGCTCAATGAGTCTAGTAACACTCAGCCATTTATTCAAAGAAAGTAGAGAACCAGGGCATTTGAAAGAGCAGCAGTAACAACCGAATTGTGTTCTAAATGGGGAGGCTCATCAAAGCATAAAAACAGAGAGCTAGTGGAGAGACCATTGGAGACAGAATATGTGAGCAAAGATCTCTTCAGGACTGAGTGCTGGACGTGGTAGTGCACACCTGTAATTCCAGCAGCTTGGGAGGCTGAAGCAGGAGGGTCACAAGTTCAAAGCCAGTCTCAGCAATTTAGTGAGGCCCTGAGCAACTTAGTGAGACCCTAATTCACAATAAAAAATAAAAACAGGCTGGGGATGTGGCTCAGTGTTTAAGTACCTCTGGGTTCAATCCCTGGTATCCCACCAAGGGCGAAGCAGAGATATTGGCTCCATGGTAAATTGCCCCTGGGTTAAATCCCGAATACCAAGAAGAAAGAAAAGCTGTCCAGATGAACCCCAGAGAGTGTCCCTTGTGTCCA